TATAATGTGGTTTTCTTATTTGTTCTTTTATCTTATCCTAATTTCCCCATGGAAGGGAAAGTTTTGGTCCTGACATATGATAAGGTCAGAAGAAACACCTTCTAACAATAAGAGGTATATCATTTTCCCACAAAGCCTAGGAGTGAATAAAATGTACCTGTGATACACATGAGGCTGGCTGGGCCTAGGCCCAAAAAATGATTCACAGGACATCTTTGTCACTCTTGTCTTGCATTAGCAATATGAGCTCAGACAAATCAACTGTTGTCCAGCTCGCAGCATACTCAAAAGGATGAGACTGGACCACATGATGGCCACATTCTTTTTATGTCCACCACTGCAATGTCCTACGTAAGTCTTTGGGAATCCCTCTCACCTTTTCACTAGATTGTCTCATACAGCACTATTTAGAATCAGGACCTACAGGAGAAATGGTGTCTTCCTGCCATTGACAATAACTTTCAGTTCTCAGATGCTACCCGCAGAGGTGCACAAGGACAGCAGGTGGGTTTCACAGAGGGTGGCATCCACTCATCTGATTCTAGAGGAGACAGGCACTGTGTTCAGTACTGTTGCAGGCAGCCAAGTTAGACAGAAATATTATAAGCAGTCAGACAGGGCCAGGCCCTCAAGGAGACAAAATGAAAGACAAGGTGACTTTGCAACTTGAAAGAGACAGACACTCCCATATGGGCCACACCTCAAGACCAAGACAAAAAGAGGAAGCACAGCTACATACTTCCCTAGGGATGGGCATTAGGGATTGATATTCTAAATAGTACCAATCAACTTAAAAGAGCCCAAATGAGTCACTAGCCCACCCCCCAACAGGAAAAGACCCTGTTCCATATTCGCGCCCACTTGCTATGTGACTCACTTTCCCATTTGATACTTGATTTAATCAATTTTACCTGAACAATGGTGTTTGTAATCTCATTGGTTGACCATAGTTTGGTCCCACCTCATGCCCAACTAAGCAAGTTCCCATGTCTTCTCCACCACCTTAGACCCGCCTCACCACATGGTTTTCCTCTATAAAAGTCCCTGCAAGAGACAACTTCCTGGGGTGTGGGGGGAACTACCCACTCGGCCCCCCATCCTGTCTCTCTCTCGGGACAGGGGCTTTCTTTCTCTCAATAAATATATTCTGCTCATAACCTCTGTTTGTTCCTAAAATTCATTCTTCGGTTTTAGAGAACACAAACTTGTGCAGGTCAGGTCCAGAGACTGTTTTTCCCTATGTCATTTGGAGGTTTCCTATATGGTTTGGAGGTCACCCACCCGAGACCAGTTTTTCTCCCTGCATCAGTACCATCTAGAAAAAGATATACTTAAGCACCAAAATTTGGGCAGTGCCTCTATACATAAAAATGAAATAGAGACAAAGAGGCAAAAAGCAAGGCTGGCCTTTCATTTTCCTGTGACTGTGCAATTTGAGCCCAAAAGCCATTAAACCTAAGCCACTAGATCACTGTCTTCTGCTTGTCCGGAACTTCACTGTCTCCCAGCCTCCAGGGCACAGTCACTGACAGCTGGAAGTAATGCTACCTGGGTGGTCTATGGACTGTCACTAGGGATCTCTCTCATCTTTGCGGAAAATGTAAAACATATACTTGACTATAAAACTGAGCATTTTGTTTATATGTGATAAGTTCGGGCCCTAGTGTGAACTGCTAAAATCATTGTGGTGGTCATCTACTATGGCTAATGCCCTTAAACCAAAGGCCTGTGCTCCCAGGACCACCTCCTGCTTCTTCTCCAACTCAGCCCAGGCCATAATTTCCTTCCATCCTTTCCACTGCCTCTGGGTAGAGCCCAGTCAGGTCCTCAGGTCTATCCAAACATCCCCTCCAAACGCCACCCCGGCAGAAGGCCATAAGAGCCTCAACCTCCCTTTGGCTAGTAGTCCAGAGAGAGAATTACTTAACCTCCCCGAATTCTCTCTGTGTACTAAAAGAAAAAAAGTCCCGTTCACTTTTTCCTTCTGCCTGTTTCTCTGTTGAAAAACACTCATGTGAAAAACACATATCAATATGTAAAAAAAAAAAAAAATAAGAAAAATATTTCAGCAATACCAGACTCGGTCAAAAAACAAATAAAAATTTGGGCTGGCCAGGTAACTCAGCGGATTAAAGTGCCTGCTTAGGCAGACTCAGGGACTAAGGTTCACTGAGAGGGTGATGATACTGGGCGTGGTGGCGCATGCCTGTAATTCCAGCACTTGGGAGGCTGAAGACAGGAGAATCACTAGGAGTCTGACCTGTGTAGTGAGGCCCTGTAGACCCTATACTAAACACACACACACACGCACACACACACACACACACGCACACACACACACACACACACACACACACACAAAGGAAACAAAAGTTAAAGTAGTAGACTGACTTTAATTTCCCATTTTTCAAAATTGAGGAAAAAAAAGAACTGATGTAACAGTCAAGCAAAGCAATAACTTAATTAATAATATGTCTTAGGGGCTGGGGACATGGCTCAGTGGATAAGCGCTTACCTGGCAAGCGCAAGGGCCTGAGTTCAATCCCCAGTTCCGAAAAAAAAAAAAAAAAGTATGTCTTAAGGAAAACATCATGCCCATCTGGCCACTATTTAAGTTAAATTCCATGAAGACTCAGAAGAAGAAGGAGAATCCAAAGGTGACCAGGACAAAGCTACATATATTTGCAAGCCTGGGGCAAAGGTATCACAGACCACCAAGTTCCACCCCTGAAGGTCTCAGCTCTAATTCCAACTCTGACACAGAAGAGAAAGCAATTATAAAAGCCTACTGTCTGTGGTGTCTCCAGGGGAGAACTAAACAGAGTATCCCAAAGGTGCTTTCAATTGAGCAGGCGGCCAGTTCCTACTCTTCTGTTTTCAGGAAATCCCATGCCCAGCAATTTCATCTCACATTTATTCTATGTGAACAACCCACTGAATTTTTACTTTCGTTGGTAAGACTTCTAAAAAAATAATGAAGGAAAAAATGCCTTGCTCCAAGTCTCTAAAGACCTGTATCCCTCAGGGCATCTAAGAAGGAGTGGGGCAGCTGCTCCTGTGGGCCCTCCAGAGCCTGCCTCAAGCAGATTCCTCCAGGGAAGTCCTCGGGAACTGCCCCAACAGCATCCTCTGTGTGACTAACATGTGAAAACAATTAACAATCATCCAAGTTACCAATCAGGCCACTCGAATAGATGGTTTAAAAGGAGGTAATACTGAGCTGTTTTTAACTATAATACATTAATTCAGAAAAAGAAAACATGTAAAAAGCACATGAGAAAGACTACTTATGGTAAAAATTGTACATGCTTTACAATTGTAGACAAAGCACTTTGAACACAGATAAAAGTAGTTATTTTTTAAAATATATTAATTATTAGATTATTTTGTAAGCTAGATATTTTCCCAATTTCTTATAAAGGAATGATAGTGCCTCCCACTCAATCACTTGAACGGTCTGGAATCAACTCTCTTCTGTTTTAATCCAAGCCTTCAATCAGCCTTCTGTACTATTCTATTTCAACCTCATACTCCAAATGAGTTAGGTGCATAGGCAGGCCTGGCTCAGTTTCCCAAAGTCAGCTTGAAAAATTAAGTTCTGTAACTTTTAGGCTGAGAAGAGTTTTCACAGCTTTTAAATAGGTTCCCACACTCACCCTACTTAACATGTCTCTATCTCTGACTCACCAAGGACCTGTAGGAGACCAGATAATGAGGATGGAGGCCTAATTGATCTTCCCAAGCACAAGAAGGCAGTACTGGCAAGCTGGTCTCCCCGGGGGATGAGCTGCTATCCTAGATGCTGCAAGTTCCAGGGAAGTCAACACAGCTGAAATCTGGTTATTTATCTGGTCAAACACTGTAGCTAATATAGGCCAGAGAAGTCTTGTGCCACTTTAATTGCTTGCTCCCGTGTGCAAGTGAACAAAAGCGAGGTGAGCTAAGTGCCCAGGACTCGTTGTCTACTACAGGCAAGAGCCCACTGGCTCCTCTCTCTAAATTAATTGTGTCTTTTTTTCATCCTTGTTCATCCCCTGATCAGGGGCACACTTGGAGGCCAGTTCATACAAGGACCTAATAAGTTCCCTCTGCAAAATCCTCACATTTAGGTGGCCACAGAGCACACTGTTAGAAAAATCTAGCACTCAACAATGGATGGGAGAAGTACTGATGACTGCTATTTATATCCAAAGTTAAATCCAATCACTTTAAATGAGGACAGTGGGAGCATGTTAATTAGCAATATGACGAGTACAATGGAACAGGACATTCCTGGGACCTAATTAATACAGACAGCTAACGCTCATCTCCATTTGAGTCACCTAGCTACTAAACCAATTATAGTTGTCAATATAGTTAAGTAAAAGAAATGTATTATCCTAATTCTCATCTGAAACATCTCGTGATGAAATGCACAGATACCTACAAGATAGTGATTTACATGCTCAAAAAAAATATGGTGATTTGCTTTGAATCATATTTTCCACAGTCATGGCTGCCTTCTTTTATCTACATTGTCTTACAAAATCCACCTCAAGAAAACCTTGAGGTAGTTAGGATTAGAGGTTCAACTGATGGATAGAAACAAGAAAAAAAATAATCTTTCATCTACCCAAGGAATAAACACAGCTCTGGTCTTATCACCACCATGTACTGATCAAGTAGGCAGAGTATAAACGCATAGCTGCCTGGGCTGTCTTAGAAACTGAGTATCAACTCAAGAAAGCTCTCTAATTCCTCTTACACCACTGTCTATACTCTGGGCAGCACACATCTTTGAGAAAATGTTAAGAGGCAGGACTGGAGGATAATAAATCAAATTGCTGTTTTATCTCACACTACCATTTCCCAAACAGAATCAAACAAGCACATGCTCTATAAAGCAGAGATTATACACAGAGAATATTTAAGTGTTTTTTTCTTGGTTACATTTTAATTTAATCTGAAAAACACTTTGCTTTAAAAAAGAACATTATAATAAGAATAGTATTATTTCTTACCAGACCCATGAAAAGGCCAAAAACCAAAGTGGCAATGATGAAAAAGACGTAAGAACACCAAGCAGGAATTCCCAGGGTCACCGTGAAATAGTTGTGAAGATGCTATAATCAAAAGGAAAATAAAAAGTCACTTGTAATGAAGACCAAAGATATTTGAATCCATTTTCTTAGCTGTAACTCCAGTCTGTTAACTGTCCCTTCTACGTAAGTTCCCACAAAGGTTTAAGTACCCCAATGAGCCTTAACACACAATGTACATTTCACAGAACTGAGAAATTTATGAATAATGATCAAGGATGTACCTATTGTTATAACCTGTGCAACTGATTCAAACTTTGTAACTCTGTATGCTTCCACTGTAACTTTATTAACTGTTATAACCTGATATATGCGACGCCATCTTGTTCGCACCATTCTAAATGCTGTAACTTTCCACTGTGCCCCATTCTCTACTTGAGAACCTGCAGTTGGGCCTTTCTCATGCACACCCGAATCTAGTTCTGGCCCAATGTCCTGTTCTTGCCCTCGTTCCCAGCTACAAACTGTACTCACCACTGCACCTGTTATTGTTCATTAGAAACAGGTAATTTTTCAACTGTAGCCCCTAGATGAACCCTTGACATCAGCCTTTGTGGTTTATTGGTTTAAATACTCACTCCCCTCATCCTCCCAGCGTGCACCTTAGCACACTCTACAGGGTGTCCGCTGCTGGGTACCAGCTAAAATAAAGTGCTCTTTTCTTTTTAAGCCTGCCTCATTTTGGGGTTATAACACCTTTAATATGAATTAAACTTCCTTAGGGATCAGGATCTGCATAGAAGTCTGGTGAAATTGTCTTGCTATGCCTTTCTTCCATAGTGATTTTTTTTGGTGCCCCTTAACTATTAATTACATATACTTCAGTATTTAATCATAATATAGCATCTTGCGCCATGCTGGCCCTGCCCGCCTGGGTGTGCTGAGATAGCAATTGAGACTGGGCATCGTGGCACACAAGTGTAACCCCAGCTCTTGGGAGGCTGTAAACAGGCGGACTACTATGAGTCCAATCCAGTAGTGAGAACCTGAACAACCTGTAGACCCTTCCCTAAAAATTAAAATAATAATACTACTACTAACAATAATAATACAACATCTTGAATTAAAGTGCCTGCTGAGACAGTGATTGAGACTGGGCATGGTGGCACACACCTATAATCTCAGCACTTGAAAGGCTGAAAACAGGAGAACCACTATGAGTCTGATCTCCATAATGAGACCCAGTAGACCCTGTACTAAATACAAAAAATAAAAAATAAAAATAAAAAAAGCATCTATTAAAAGTGAAACTTTTGGAGCTTTTATCAATTTTTTGACAGGCATAAATGACTACTTAGTGAATACCAGCCATTTCAAATGTCTCACCATTTTTGCAGTCTGGTACCTACCACTCTACTCCCACAAAATGTAGACACATTTTCCTGGTCAATTCATTATGAACAAGTACAATTTCACTGTGTCTTTGAGCACAGTGTATATTCTTTCATGTTTACTGTTCTCTGGGCCTCTATTTGATAATAAACGTGAAAGTGAATGAAAAGACATAATCTTAGCTAGGAATTGTTTACATGCTAAATCATGTAGGAATTACAGAGATGGATCTACCCATTAATGCCAAAGTTCATTTCAATGTGGACTTGTTGGGGAAATGCTTCATCATGATGATTTAGTCATGTTTTCACCTATAAAGCTTGTAAAACTGTCATTAACTACAATTTAGCCAATTACTTTACACAGAATTAAATAGCTCCAAGTTTAGGTGTCACCTGGAAGCACAGATGAATCTGATGAGTTTCATTTTAGTGTCATATTCCTCAAAATCGAAATCACTTCCACTGGTTTCTTAGTTTATGTCAAACAATAAAGTATTTTATTATGTCTTAGTTCTAATATTTATTTATTTTTATTTATTACATTTATTTATTGTGTGTGTGTGTGGCCAGCTCAGCCCACCAGGGGGCGGGTCTGGCTGGCATGTGGTGCTGGGGATCGAACCGCGGTCCCTGCGCTTTGCCAAGCTCGTTTCAAGTAGGTGCTTTAGACCACTGAGCCATCTCTCCAGCCCCTATGTCTTAATTCTAAATGACTGACAAGCATACAAAAAGTTTAATAAGTGATCTAAAATAATCTGATAGATTTAAAGACTGAGCAAGTATTTTAAACAACATATGCAGTCACAATACTCAATCAGCACATGTTGGGTAAGGAAAAGATACATCAAATGCTTCAAACATTCAAAGAAAATACAAATAAGCTCTTGAACTGTAAAGCCACCATCCTTCCTCTGTTGGTACCACTGGTCAGCAGCTTGTGTCTAGCCAAGGCAAGTGTCCATTAAGCAGCCCAGCATTCTCTAATCCATCAGGCAAAAGAGGTATTTGAGATACGAAACCAGCAGCTTGAAGTTCTTTCCAGTACAAGCTCTAAGAGGGACTGCACAGTTCCCAACTTTGGAAAACACTGTGTACTCAGTGAACACTTCAGACTTTTCTTGATGAGTCAGGGTCATCATCAGGATAAAACTTACAAAAAGCCTAAGAATCAGAAGGTGCTGAGCACATTGCGGCACACTGCTGATGCAGGCTTGCTTTCTGATTTATGTTACCCATGTGGCTGGGATGGATAAAGTGAAATCTGGGGATAAACACTGCACAGTTGGTTGGTTTGTTCTTTTTTTGTATTTTTTAGTAAGGGTCTACAGGGTCTCACTATGTAGATCTTACTCGCAGTGATCCGCCTGTGTTTAGCCTCCCAAAGAGTGGGGATTATAGGCACATGGCACCAAGCCCAGTCTTATCGAGGTCTCAGCATGCCCCAGGGGCAGGGCCAACACCGCTACTGCTTCTGCCCAAGCAGGCACTTTAATCCACTGAGCTAGCTGGCCAGCCGAAACACTACGGTTTTGCGTACTCCTGGGTACGGTCTTACTCCTTTACTAAAAAATAATAAAAACAGTCCTCAAGAAACTTCTTAATTTGCTTTTTAAATATCAGTAAACTATTTTCCTTGTAATTATTGCGAGCTCAACACTGCTCAGTATTTTTAAAACATGTTATTTTAATAAGCCCTACTTCCATTTTCTTGCATCAAACTATTTCTAAAAGGATTTGTGCTTCTTAGGAAACTCTGCCATCTTGTGGTCTTTTATGTAATTATGATCCAAGATATTTCAAACTGTCCTGCTTCAAGGTTGTATATGGTTAGATTTTTGGACTTATGTGTAAACATAAGAATTATATATTTTTATGCCTATTTTTAAAATATAGTCCAATTTTTAAATGTTTTTTCATCATATTCTGTAGGGATTTAAAGTTCAACATATCAATACTTGATGAAAAATACCTGTTCCATGTTATGCCAAAGATGTTTGATATTCAGACAGATAGTGAGGTTAAGCTTAACAGCCTAGGTTGTATGGTAAGAACAATAGCTTCTCTTCTGGAGGGTTAGCAACCTAAGTTTGCAGACCAAAATTAGAGAAAAAGGAGGGCCACAA